GGAGGATTTTATTTAGGGACGATTTTAAGTATAATTTTAATTGGAACACAGCTTCGAATATTTGGTTTTAATTTGGTTTTAGAGGGGTTTTTATTTTTATTGATATGTATATCTGTTTTAATATGCTGTGCACCGCCCTGAGTCCTGCGGGAGAAGGGCGGTATAGAAATTAAAATAATAATAATAATAATAATAATCATGTCACATGCCAAACTATAAACCATAGTTTACAAACACAGCTAGACTTCATAATATCCTAACTAAAAAAAACCAGCCAACATAGAACAATGTAATAAGATCACCAGACACTATTATAAGAGCGATATATAAATTATATATACAAATTATATTTAAAGCAGATTTAAAATTCTGGATTCAGTTCTAGAGCTTACTTATTCATTCATGATTAAAGATCAAAAAATGAGAAAGAATCCAATATATACCACAGTTAGCAGAGATTCATTTAAAAAATACAGTATGAAATAAAATAATGCAAAATAATAAAAAAGCAACGTTAAGGCCAAATTCAAACCTTTTTCTTCCTGGTGGCAAAGTGCAACACAACAAATTTAGCTCCTTTCATAGATATATGAATGGATCGATCTTTTAACAGAAAATAAACTATTTCTGCTTCATGACAGACAGACAGTTTTGCATGGAGCTTAAGGAACAGTCTGGAAACCAAAAAACTGAGTTTTAGTCACCCCTTAGGCACAAAGACAGCTGGGTGACCTTAGGGCCAGTCTCTCTCAGTCTCTCTGACTTTCTTTTTTTCTCTCTCCCCACCCCCACCCCGTCCCACCCCAGGAAGCAAGCACTGGCAAGCCACTTCTGAAATCTTGCCAAGAAAATTTCAGGGACTTGTCCACATGGTTGCCAGGAGTCAAAATGGATTCAATAGCATAAAGTTGGTTAGTTCATTAGGCCAACCCAGGAGTAGGCAACCTTGGCTCTTTTATGACTCATGGACTTCAATTCCCAGAATTCCTGAGCCAGCTATGCTGGCTCAGGAATTCTGGGAGTTGAAGTCCATGAGTCATAAAAGAGCCAAGGTTGCCTACCGCTGGGCCAACTTAAATGGTAAAGAAGGAATTGTTCATTTGGAGCACTTCTTGTCATAAAAGGTCAGGGCAGCAATACACACGCAATACAATTAGTCTTCATTTAGCAATTGTCTCAGACAGTGATCATTCACAGTTACAATAAAGTTTAAAAAGTAACTTTGTAACCAGTGTCCACATTTATCACTTTTACAGGTCTTCTAAAGCAAAGGAAAGCTGAAGTAAGATCATAAGCACAGTTATAGTTTCACTTAGCGACTACTTTGCTTAACAGCTGAATTGCTGGTCCCAATTATTGCTAAATGAGAACTGTGTGTACATATTCTGATAGCTTCAAATGAAGACAGACATAATTGTTTCAAGAAAAGGACTCTGATTTGTTTAAAGGATGAGAGAAATCCATGAAGTGTAATATTATATGCAATAGTACCGAGATAATGCATTTTTTTCACCATCACTGGTAATTCTAAAATTCACTATCAAAAATAATATATTTTTTATGAATAGAAGCAGAAGGCAAAAGCATAAAAAATGTTTTATATATTCATATGGTGCCTTGAGGCTCATATGACTTGACTAAATGCCTTCAGAAAATCAACTGCTGTATGACAGATGTTAAGATAATTGTATTTTATGATGTATACCAAGGTACTGAAATGAAGAGGAAATCTCTGCATTACTCACCCATGTTACCATCCAAATAGGAGCCCACATTTACCCTGTACTTTTCACTTTCATTTGCGATTCTGAAACTGGAATATGTTGCAAAAGTTGTGGAACCATTGAAATCTTCCACGTCAATCCGTAGTTGATGTGTACCTGAACATCGAAGGGTAAATGTTATTAGAGAATGAATACTAGAGATACAGAAATCCTTGAAGGGAAGCATATTGATCATTGTAGCAGACTTTCATTCCATCAGGACATGACCACAGTGGAATTGTGAGCCATGTCCATCCAAAAGCAACGATAACCAACAATATGGAGGAGCAGAATTCAGGAGCACAAGAGTTGGCCCAGGAAAATTAAACCACTGTCCAGAAGTCACAAACTTTGTCTTGTCGTTTTGCACAATTAGCCAGAAAACGATCCATGCATTGCCACTTTTTCCTCTGCTTTCGCAAAGCCAATATTTTTTAATAACTTTCTACCTACATGTGGTGAGTAAGGCAGCAAGGAGGGATACAGATTGCTGCTGGGGTGTCCTAGTTCTGTATATGAATATATTACCCAGGGACCATGCATGTGTGTGTGTGTGTGTGTGTGTGTGTGTGTGTGTGTGTAAAAGACAGTGATGGGCCCTCATGAGAAAGAAAGCAACTTTCTCTTTTTCCCTATTTTTAAGCATTTTATTCCTGATGTTAGTTATCAACTGTCTCGGAGAATCATGCTACATAAAGTTCTGAAAAAAATTGCAAATTACAGAAAAAAGTTTATTTTTCTCAGATTTCATTTATGAATTTGGAATGTATTATTAATCTTTATGGAAGGAAATAGAGGTTATGTCTTATGGACCAACAGGAACAGATCAGAGTCTTTCTTTTATGCATATTGTGATGCAAAGAGAGTCTCTGGTAATATTAGAGACTGAAAGGATTGATATTCATCTTTCCTTATAAATTAATTCAGATAAAGATAAGCATTGTCTGTGTGAACAAATTTAATGTATCAAACTGAGCATCAGGTAGGAGATTTTGGACTTACCAGAACTGGTGAGAAGATGGATCTTATCATTGCCCAACCAGAATTCTGATTCTTGCCTCCCAAATCCTTTCTTGTATGATTCCCATTCACGATAGAAATTGATAGACCCATCCTGCCGCTTCTGAAAGACCTAGTTGAGAGAGAGAATCTGCTTTCTTAATGTTATACCATTTCCATTTAGGTCTCTCATACTGGCTTAGTAAGTTCTTACTAGGCTACTGCTTTAAAAGTAAAGCATTGTGGCAGGGTGACTGCTTAATTAAAAAGTTGTTTGGAAGCACTAGTACCCATGTTATCTGGACTTAAAATGCAGTATGAAAGGCCACCTACGCTCCCATCTGCATACAGGACAAAAAAAGAAAGAAATCAAGAAAAACTGAGGTGGAATAGGGACTGCCTATTTTTCTCTAGTCTAGAATAAGGATTGCCTTCTCTTCTCTGCAAAGCTTGTGGAGATGTATGCTGAGGAAGGGGCGACCCAAGGTCTCCTGAACTCTGCTTCAGGCAGGTAGAAGGGAGATTCCTATGATTTCCTCCAAAACTCCTGAGGGCAAGACAAGAAGTAACAGGTGGAAAATTATCAAAAAGAGGATCCCACCTAGAACTAAGGAGAAATTTCCTGTCAGTGAGAACTATTAGTGGAACATCTTGCTTCCAGAAGTTGTGGGTGCTCCATTACTGAAGATTTTTAAGAAGAGACTGGACAACCATTTGTCTGGAATGGCATAGGCCGCAGGGGTAGGCAACCTTGGCTCTTTTATGCCTCGTGGACTTCAACTCCCAGAATTCCTGAGCCAGCATGGCTCAGCTTGGAAACTCTCCCTTTCCCCTCAGCATGGCTGGCTCAGGAATTCTGGGAATTGAAGTCCACAAGTCATAAAAGAGCCAAGGTTGCCTACCCTTGGCATAGGCCGCAGTGTTTCTCAACCTTGACAATTTTAAGGCATGTGGACTTCAACTCCCAGAATTCCACAGCCAGCAATGCTGGCTGTGGAATACTGGGAGTTGAAGTCCACATGCCTTAAAATTGTCAAGGTTGAGAAACACTGGCATAGGGCCTCCTGCTTAAGCAGGCAGTTGAATCAGAAGCCCTCCAAGGTCCCTTCCAACTCTGTTATTCTGTATTCTGTACATAGGTTCTCTAACCTGGCCCCCTCCAGGTATGCTGGACAGCAACTCTTGGAATTCTTAGCCAGCATGACAAAAGCTGGGAATCCTAGATACTGTCACCCCAACAGATCAAGAGGGAGCCAGGTTAGAAAAAGCCGAGTTAGCCTTTGAATATGACTAATGAATTAAAATATTTTTTCCTGTTTTCATTATGTTGGAAGCAAACATCTCTAAGATCTCTTACTTACCAACCAGCCTCCTCCATCTACTTCCATGTCACAGAAAACCACCATCACTTTCCCTGTGATTGGATAGATGGTGTACCAGCCAGTGAGGGTCTCTCCATGTTCACGGAGCTCCTTGCAGTTTCTGGCTCTTGCCTCTGAGAGAAGAATTGGGGTGGGTGGGGGGGAATGTGTGCATCAGTTCAGATTCTATCTGTACTGAAAATATATGTGTTGGGACAATTACAGGTCTCTATGCAAGAACCTCCAGTGAAATTACCATAATGCCGACTGTAGGAGAATGGATACACATTGGTATGCAATAATATTTTTTTAAAAAATGAAGAAAATATTTATTTATAAAATTTATATGCCCTCCATCTCGTATCCAACAACTCTGGGAAGCTTACAACACATAGGTATAGATAGATCCTTCAACACCTGAATAAGACATACATTATTTGAATAGGTAGCAGCTTTCTCCAAACTAGAGCCATTAATTATCGGGGGGAGGATTATGGGAGGTGGAGTCCAACATTCTTAGAAGACACAGGTTGGGAAAAGCTGATAGGTGCAGATGAAATGCATCACAATGATCCTTAAACTGTGATCAGAGAATTTGTACTTTTCCAAGCATCTGTTCTAGCCTGTTCAGGCATTTTTTACATTTATTATCCTGAGTGATAAAGGGCAGACAAAGGGAGATCAAAAAGAAGATGAAGACCCAGCTGATGTCATTTGTGCCAATTATCTGGGGAAGGTTGAAGTGACTGAGTAAACAAGGGGAGAATGCTTAGACATACCTTCCTGCTGACAGCTTTCTAAGCGGCAGGATTCTCCTGTGGAAAGGGGGAAAAAAAACTGCTTTTGAGCTGAATAGACTCAGGGCTCTCCAAGTAAAAAGAAATGTGAACACGAGAACTATTTCACAAACTCTGAACACAGGTAGTCCTCAACTTACAACCATTCATTTAATGGCCATTCGGAGTTACAATGGCACTGAAAAAAGTAATAATAATAATCAGGGCTTTTTTTTCTCATAGAACGCCCAGAATGGAGTTCCGGCACCTTTTTTGGATGGAACCTTGTAGGGTAGGCAAGGCGGGTTGTATGACATGTGTGAGTTCCGGCACCTTTTTTTTTTTTAGAAAAAACCCACTGATAATAATAATAAAGTTGGAAGGGACCTTGGAGATCATCGAGTCCAACCCCATCGCAGTATCCCTGTAGTCCCATGATCAAAATTCTGAAGTTTGGCAACCGGCTTGTATTTACAATGGTTGCAGTGTCCCAGGATCTTGTGATCCCCTTGGCAACTTTCTGACAGACAAAGCCACTGGGGAAGCCAAATTTACTTGACAATCATGTTACTAACTTATAACTACTGCAGCGATTCACTCAACAACTGTGGCAAGAAAGATCATAAAATGGGACAAAACTCGCTTAACAACTGTCTTGCTTAGCAATGGAAATTTTGGACTCAGTTGTGGTCATAAGTCGAGGACTCTCTGTATAACAACACTTCTTTTTTATGCAAGTTTGTTACCTATTTTCCTGCACAGAGGAACAGAGGTATAGAAAACAGGCTGCAAAGAACTTGTCTTGCAAAGTGATCGCCGAAGTAGAAGCATGAGTGAGAGTATTTGTTTGGAAGCCAAGAGGCTTGGGATTTCCATATATCTCCCTCATTAAAAAAATGGATTTCTGGAGATACGTTACCTTTGTCTCCTTTGTCTCCCTTTGGTCCAGCTTTTCCAGATATCCCAGCAGAGCCCTTTTCACCTAAGGAGAACAGAACAATGCTTCTTAAAAGAACATCTGGAATATACCAAGAGCTTTCCAAATCTTGTCCTGGTAAAAAGCAAGGTCATCACACCGGGTGCCATCTTTCAGTTTGCAAAAAGGGGACAACAACCCTTTTTATAAACAGGAAAGCTACCTATACACTTTCCACATAATGGAAGAATGTATAACTATTCTGAACTTGCATTGGTTTTAGGTTTTCCTCATCTTTCTCAAGCACTGCAAAGACCATAAACATTTTGCTAGGAAAGAACTGACTAATCCCTGGAAAGGAAGAAAGCTGGTGGGCATAAGAATAGTCCCTTTAACAGAACGATACATTCCATCCTCCCCCCAAAAGGACTAGAACAGTGATGGCGAACCTTTTAGAAACCGAGTGTCCAAACTGCAACCCCAAACCCACTTATGCATCATCGGGTGCCGGGTGGGTGTGACCCACTGGCTGGGCATGGTCCATTGGGTGGGTGTGGCTGCGGTGGTAACGGCAGACTGGGTGGGACTAAAAAATTCAATCAATGAATTCCAACTTTGCAAGTTTTTTTTCCCCCCGAGAAGTTGAAATTGACTGAACTTTTTTTTTTTCACAAAGCAGCGGAGGCCTAAAGCGAAACGGTTTTATAAAACCCAGCTGAAGGGCTAGGACTGGGGCGACGGTGTGCATGCCCACAGAGAGGGCTCTGAGTGCCGCCTCTGGCACCCGTGCCATAGGTTCGCCACCACTGGACTAGAAGTTCCAACTATAGGAGCACTCCCAACTGCTACTATTGTACAGTCATCAGCATTTTTAAAATCCTCTTCCTGACCTGAAATGCAATCTTGTTAGTATGGCACCCTCCCTTCCTAGCTGGAACTTGAGGGGTGGGTCATGGTTTTCATCCCTCTGCCTGTAACCTTGATGATGCTTACCCCAATATCCTTTCTTCTAGACAGTCCAGGCTTTGACTTTCCTAATAATAGAACAAATAAGCTGCTAGATCTCCTTGACACCAATCGTCAACTTACCTGGGGGCCCTTGAGGTCCTGGCTCACCCTTGGACCCAGGAAGTCCATTTGTTCCAGGCATACCTGGAATTCCAGGTATGCCTGCCTGGCCCTGGAGGACAATCTTGTCACGCCCACATTCTGCTAAGCTCTTCAGCTCTGGAATAGAAGAAAGAGCATAAACTGAGTGAAAAACTAGAGAGAAGCAAGAAGGTTTTCCTCAGAGTCTAACAAGTCACACTAAATCAAGGTGGCCTTAGTTTGGTTGCTAGAAAACCAGGATGATGCAGCAGATAATACTGGATTTCTATCATGGGGAATTCTGGACAAGTTCATTCTTTTTTTCTTTTTTTTACTGAGCCTTCACAAGCTTTTAAAGCCTGCATTTTTTTAACTGCTAGACTAGAGGAAAGGTGAAAAGGGCAGGAGGAGGAAGAACAATGACATGTATAGGATACTCTAAGGAAACAATCCCTGATACTAACATGTACACGTTTTCCTTTCAAATATTCTAGTTGATTACCTTACACACTTTATATGGGGGAAAATCAAATATTTCCACAAAAGTGCAGTTCACTGGGAGCCCAGAAAATATTTGTTCTCTAACAAATCCATCTATGCATATAAGAATCAGATTTCTTTCTTCTCATTTATATTTTTGAATGTATATTTAAAACTTGTTAGCTAAATTATTAGATAACGCATAGGTTATACATTCATTACATTTAAAAAGACACACACATGAGTTACTGTGTCTTTAGTGATTTGTAGAAGTACTAAATCCATAGGTTGAAAAAGTTTGATATTTATTGACAGATTTTACATAATTTTCACAAAATGTGTAATTAGGCGCCTCTTTCACTTCAGTCTCGGGCCTCATCCAGCCTAGGTACGGTAGCATGTTTCATCTCCAATCTGCATCAGGCAATCTTACTAGATGCTTCGTGAACCACCCACACTCTCTGCAACCAGCCAATGGCAGAATGATAAAAAACAAGGACCCAGGTGGGACCCTACCTTCTTCCATTCCAGTATATGCTTCTTGCAGCAAGTAGAATGGCAGAGCCCCATCTCGGGGCCGTGGGGGAGTAGTGGCAATGAACCAGGGTAACTTTGATTCAAAATGGGACAATTCGCCATGGCTGATTTGCCATGGCTGACTCCACCCCGGCTGACTCGCTGCAACCAACTTGCCTCAACTGACTTGCTGCAGGACAATTCAATGTGGGACAACTCAAGAGAGACACAAGAGAATTGCAGCTCACCCCAGCCTCAATGACTTCTAATTTGAGAAAGATCGAAGCTAAAGCAAGACGCCAGACCCTCTGCAACTTACTTGTCCCTCTCTTGCCTTATTCTGTGTTGATTGGTTCCATGGTGAGTTACCCCATGAGTTGTCCCATAGTGAGTTGCCAACAGTGACTCGGCCATGGTGAACTGGCCTTGGCAAGTTGTCCTAGACCCACCAGGAGTTGAGGGAGATGTGTTTCTGCTAGTGAGGAACTCCAGCAACTATGAAAATCATTCAAAACTGTCTTTACTGTGTTTACTTTAGAGTATGAGCTACTTCAAACTGATTGATTCAACACATGAAGCCCAGCTGGATTAGCTCTGTTCTTGGATCAGTTCAGCCTTTATGCGTGAAAGATGCTTTTGACACAAAGCATCTGATTAGGAGAATCTTTTCAGGCTGGGAAACAGTATATGCTACAGAATAGAGCACAGATGTTTTAATAAGGCATGCCTTTTTGGCCAAAGACAAACGCCACTGGTCTATTTCTTTCCCAATCCATTAAACCCTTCTCCTAGAATTGCTCTAGCTCAGTGTTTCTCAACCTTGACAATTTTAAGGCATGTGGAATTCTGGGAGTTGAAGTCCACATGCCTTAAAATTGTCAAGGTTGAGAAACACTGCTCTAGCTTCACTAAAGCTTCTACTACCGGTCTGTTAACTTTGATCTTTGAACGTCGATTCCTCCCTCTGATCAATAACAAAGCAGAAAATGGCCACTAAACAATGCCTTCCCCGCATTGTTGCATTTGTTGCAATTAGGAAAAAAAACAAACACAAAATTAGCCATTGTCTGGAGCTCTGGCAAATCCTCCAGCAGCACTTTCCCTAAAGGGATGGGGAAGTCCCAGGAGTTCCCACTAATGATGATTTGCCCTACAGTTTTGAGGGAAGCTCTCTAGACCAGTGTTTCTCAACCTTGACAATTTTAAGGCATGTGGACTTCAACTCCCAGAATTCCACAGCCAGCATTGCCTAGTTTGCTATCCTTTAAATATGTCTTTGAGCTCGGCTATGGGCTTAAGTGTTCTTATATATATAGCAATGCCCATTAGTTCTGTAAACAGAGAAATGTGGAAATAATAGAATTTCCTTGCAAAAGTACAGGAAGAAACTATGTTGAAAGTCTTCTTTTGCAACACCTGCTTTCACAAATCTTGGCACCATTCACAATATTTACAGATGAGGGATGGAGCTCTAGAAATAACGGAAATCCCTGCATTGCATTACTTTCCCCACCCTTTGTCCTTTGTTGAGCATTTTCTGTGGAACAATGTGGATCTTTTAAATGCTGTTATCAGAGGGAGAGAAGAAACATGAGTGAGCCGAACTTCAGGTAAACAAATACTTCAGCTCTTACAATTTTCCTTCTTGGATAAATACTCCCTGACAAAGACTGACAATATCCCAATTAGCCTGACAAGGCTGATTATATTTAATGCATGACTAAAAATTAATAGGTGTTGTTCATTAATCTTCTGCAATTTTCATATGATCTTATGGATTATAAATGTATTGTACACCTAGACAAGTATGAGTATAGACTAAATTGCTTTTTTAAATCTATAGAGTGAAAGAAAGGCTGTAAAGTAGAGTAATATCTAGAACAGAGATCCCCAAACTTTTGGGCACCAGGGACCGGTTCCGTGGAGAAAAGTTTTTCCGCGGATCGGAGAGTGCGTGGGTTTGTATGCTGCCTGCATCCCAAGGATGGGGCTTTGCTTGTTTGTGCGGACCAGTTGCTGATCTAGAAATTAGATTAATATATGATTATGATTATGATTATGATTATGATTATGATTATGATTATGAATAATAATAATAATAATAATAATAATAATAATAATAATAATAATAATAATAATAATAATAATAATAATAATATAAAGTTGGAAGGGACCCTGGAGGTCATCTAGTCAACTCCCTGCTCAGGCAGGAAATCTTATACCATTTCGGACAAATGGCTGTCCAGTCTCTTCTTAAAAACTTCCAGTGTTGGAGCATTCATAGCTTCTGGAGGCAAATTGTTCCACTGGTTAATTGTTCTATCAGGAAATTTTTTCCTTAGTTCCAGGTTGCTTCTCTCATTGATTAGTTTCCATCCATTACTTCTTGTCCTGCCTTCAGGCGCTTTGGAGAATAGCTTGACTCCCTCTTCTATCTACCAGGCTTTTGTCGAAAAGCAGTGTATGCTAGCCTAGCCAGTCTTGCCATAAAAACAGAATAAATAAATAAATAAATAAATAAATAAATAAATAAATAAATAAATAAATAAAAAACCCTCATTTTTTTAAATAAATAAATAAATAAATAAAAATCTCTTGTAATGGTATGTGAGAAAGATCTTGGCACAGTAGGTGAAGAGATGTTGCCAAAGGACGGCATAGCCTGCAGTTAGATGGTGGGCAGGGCAAGAGGCTCAGAAGAGACCCTCCCTCTCAGTTGTAAAGGAGATGGGTGGGAGAGAGAATTGTCCTTTTGTAATACATGACATCATGCTTTACAACCACATCACTTAGCAATGAAAATTCTGATCCCAATTGCCACTGGAATCCAAGGACTACGGGTACCTTTCCCAGCTATTACTGTGGAAAGGTGAAGCTTGCATTCTCTCAGTCAGTTAAGATGACAGTCTTCTTTTCACACCTCCAGTTTAATTTTTTTCATTCCAGGTAATGGTTAGTTTTCTTCTGACTTCAATTGCAACCTCTGTGTAATTGGTACTTGAGGATGAGGAGTAAATGGGGGGGGGGACATGCAATTGAAATCCCACATCTTTTTAATTTTTAAAGAGTCATTTGAAATTGGATAACTATATCAATTTTGAATGAATGGATAAATAAATAAATAAATTTGCCATGAACATCATTGGATACTTTAAAATGGGTGCAGCTTTGATTGTGCAGCCATGGTTGCCAAGTTGACATTTTGATTCCCCCTCCATTAGGACATGGGACAAAATGACAATGTGCCGAATGTTTTATTAACAATGGTTTGTTCTGTTTTGTCTGGATTAGGGATTGGAAGAGATGAAAGCAGTGGTGGGATTCAGTCGGTTCACACCGGTTCAGGAGAACTGTTAGCTAAATTTTGCTGCATTCAAAGAACCAGCTGGCTTACAGAAGTCCAGTCTAGGCCTCAGAAGCCTGGAGCAGGCCTCCCAGGCCTAGAACTGCCCACCGAAAGTGCATGGATGCCACTTCTGTAAGTCCGTTCTAGGCCTCCGAGGCCCAGGCCTGCATCGAATAAGAGTATGGCCTACTTCAAACTGATTGATTCAACACATGAAGCCCAGCTGGATTAGCTCTGTTCTTGGATCAGTTCAGCCTTTATGCGTGAAAGATGCTTTTGACACAAAGCATCTGATTAGGAGAATCTTTTCAGGCTGGGAAACAGTATATGCTACAGAATAGAGCACAGATGCTTTTATAAGGCATGCCTTTTTGGCCAAAGACAAACGCCACTGGTCAATTTCTTTCCCAATCCATTAAACCCTTCTCCTAGAATTGCTCTAGCTTCACTAAAGCTTCTACTACCGGTCTGTTAACTTTGATCTTTGAACATCGATTCCTCCCTCTGATCAATAACAAAGCAGAAAATGGCCACTAAACAATGCCTTCCCCGCATTGTTGCATTTGTTGCAATTAGGAAAAAAAACAAAACAAAATTAGCCATTGTCTGGAGCTCTGGCAAATCCTCCAGCAGCACTTTCCCTAAAGGGATGGGGAAGTCCCAGGAGCTCCCACTAATGATGATTTGCCCTACAGTTTTGAGGGAAGCTCTCTAGACCAATCTATCTTAATTAGCTAGCTCAGCACAGAAAGGACCAATTGAGACTCACGTGCACAGCAGTTGGTTTCTGTCTCCTCCTGTGTGGATAGTCCTCTCTCTGCAGCCAGAGCAATCAGGAATATGAAGCAAAAACCAATCCAAGATGTCATCTTGCCTCTGGGAACCTAGTTTGCTTCCTTTAAATATGTCTTTCAACTGGGCTATGGGATTAAGTGTTCTTGTATATATAGCAATGCCCATTAGTTCTGTAAATAGAGAAATGTGGAAATAATAGAATTTCCTTGCAAAAGTACAGGAAGAAACTATGTTGAAAGTCTTCTTTTGCAACACCTGCTTTCACAAATCTTGACACCATTCACAATATTTACAGATGAGCTCTAGAAATAACGGAATTTACTAGAATAGACAATGTGCCGAATGTTTTATTAACAATGGTTTGTTCTGTTTTGTCTGGGTTAGGGATTGGAAGAGATGAAAGCAGTGGTGGGATTCAGTCGGTTCATACCGGTTCAGCAGAACCGATAGCTAAATTTTGCTGCATTCAGAGAACCAGCTGGCTCACAGAAGTCCAGTCTAGGCCTCAGAGGCCTGAAGCAGGCCTCCCAGGCCTAGAACTGCCCACTGGAAGTGCATGGATGCCACTTCTGTAAGTCCATTCTAGATTCAGAGGCCCAGAGGAGGCCTCCCAGGTCTAGAACGGCCCAACGGAAGTGCGTGGATGCCACTTCTGTAAGTCCATTCTCAGAGGCCCAGGCCTGTATCGAATAAAAGAACCGGTTGTTCAGATATTTTAATTCCACCACTGGATAAAAGTACGGGGTGAGAAAGGAATGTGCCTCCGGCCATCTGCCTTATCTCTGGGCGGAAGGAAGACGGCACAAAGAGACCTAACAACCTTGAGAGCTATGCCTTATCGGTTCATTCCCACAACAATTTGACACCTTTGGATTGGCTCTATTCGAACCAACTGGATGGACAGTTGGGGTGGGGTTTTGGATTCCTACTTTGAATGTATTGCTTTGTGCAGGAAACCCTCAGATCCTGCCTTACTTTCCTATAGTCAGCAACCCCAATAAAAGTTCCTGTTGAAATGCTACACGTTTCAAGAGTTCTGCTTTCTTGGGAGGATTAGCTGAGGCAGCTCCTTACACTTTATAATCTTGGAAGAAAACATCAGAAGTCATTCTTTGTATATATTTGTGGGTTTTTCTTTATACTTTTTTACACTTCTGTTCCTGTTCTTGTTTTACTCTTTATCATTTCTTCTGATCATTAATTTATGTTGTTTTTAATGTTCATGCTTTGTAAAATGCAGTAAAATTATTTGGAAAAAGTTGCCTTGCTAATGTGAAAGTTCAAGTGAAGCCCCTTTGAAGCTGCTTTATAAAGTCAGAAAAATATGTGTGTGCGCGCACACAGTCCACCCTCAAACAGAAACTGCTGTGTTGCTTGACTTACTTCCTCCAATTCCTCTATTGTATGACTTACTCCACCTCAGTTTCCTCCATGTCTGCAATACCAGGCAAATTTCTAAGCAGTGGTTCCATATGCCCAGAGAATTATTCTCTTTGGAAATGCTCTACATTTCAAATTCTGTTTAGATTCTGCCGTTTGTAACCTGTGACACATGTTATTCATTTTCTCTTCTGAATTCTTTGTTCCATAACATGCAGTGATTATATCTAATCATAATACTATTGAAATGAGCTGATAAAATGCTGCTTTAATTCACTTCACTAATCCTAACAATCAAAATATATTTACTTCTTGATCAAAGTTAAAGAGCAAAAAAATCCATTTTTGTTGCTTCCCTCTGTTACATCCAAATCTACATCACAGTTGAGAGGCATCTCGTCTGTAATGATGATTTAACCATTCCCATTTTCAGAGGAGTCAGGAAGAGCTGTATTCTTGTTCTTTAGTCAACTTCTATATAAATGACATCATTACGGTTCTTTCTAAACCAGAATTTTACTCCTTAATCTTTGCCCACCATCCTAGATCCATCTCTTGTAAAGAAGATTGAAATCATCTTCTTAAGTTGGCACCTTATCCGTAACTCAAGTGGGCCTAGGTGCTTTAGTGTTTTATTCTTCCAGGAATTTCTTGAAATCAATTACTCAAAAATGAAGTTTCCATTTTTCTCTAGAATGCACTTTAACTCCTCCATTACAAGGGGAAATCAATTTAAAAAACAAGTGGCTCAAGTTAAGGACTTTAAGTAACTTGGTTATCTTCACCCATTGAAATAACCAACCAAGTGAGTGAGCTTTCTATTAGAGGTCAAAAAGTTGTTAACACAATCTTAAAGTATGCCAGTCTTCTTGGCAATAATAACATCTCTGCAACAATAAAATTGTACAAAGCAAAGGTTTTGAATCTGTTGCTATGTAGTCCACAACTTTGTGTTTATAAGACTGTCTCTACTCTAGAAACTGGTCAGTCTAAATTCCTCAAAGCCAAACTCTGGGTCTTTTGGCCAACTTCAAATGCTATTGTTTGGCTAGAGTTTCGCTGAATTTCTCTTGGGACCTACCCGAGACTTTGCCATCTCAGGTTTTGGCTGAAACAAATCTTTTATTGGTGAGTGTCTGGTTTACCTCACCTTTTTGGAAATATTTATTTCTTCTCTGAGAAAGCAAATTGATTCTGATCTAGCTTATTATGGTTTTTCACCCAGGCAATTCTGTTAATTTATCTCAACCCAAATAAAATATTAATTAGCCTTAGTTAGAGAATCTGGGATTTAGATCTATGAAATAAGAAAGTGAAAATCATTCATCTCTGTTACGGAGCAATTGTAAATTATCCATGGACAATTCCTATCCACCTGTGCATATCCTACGCAATTCACATTCATCCTCATAGGAGACTTTTTAACTTGGTTTGAATAGATGCACTACTATAAAGGAACACAGGAACACATTTGCTATAAACAAATGTATTAGTGTCTTGTGTAACAATTATATGTGTTTGGCTCAGATACAGGCACAGAGTCAGTAATTCTATTATTTCTCTGGGGCTGTAGATTCTTACTAAGTTGCATACAAAATCAACTACACACTGAATTTCTGTACCAAAATATAACAATGCAGATAATTCAATTATTCCAGCAGCTATTGATATTCATATCAATGCCACCACTGCCACCATCCTCATCCTGGCTTAAATGAATGCATTAATTTGAGGGGGACACAGCCCCACAATTTTTGACAATCTCTGATGTGTACATGACATAATCTATAAATGTGTAAAAAGTAGAAACAAACATGGCTGTGCTATTTTAGCAAAATAAAAAGTATAAAATCATAAGAATTGGCTGTAAAATTCCATCCTAGAATTTTACATTCAGAAAGAATTCTGTGAAAATTCACACATGGGATATGGAAAGAGCACTCTGAAACTGTGTGATCTCAGGATCAATTATGGAGAGAGGGTTCTTCATTATGTAGGACAAAACATCACATCTGACTAACCTTCAAGGGCTTACAGTCATACTCTGGAGATTCAAACACTCTGTTGCCAACCATTAGGGATGAGAGACAAGCTCGTTTCCTTCTGGAGGCATTTCCCCTCAGCATTAAACTGCATTGCATGTGTTGAAAACACTTTCTCAAAGGCTGCAACTTTTGTAAAACACCAGGTCCTGCATAAAAATGATCATACATATACAGTAAAATGCCACAGAAATAAGTCAGATCAATTTATTTGTGAGTTAGACTTCCGATTCAGTGTGAAATAGGTGGCTGAATCTGTAGCTGAAAAGAAGTGAATTTTTCCCCTTACAAGTTGATTCTCATGTTTGATCTGAGTTACATTCCACAGATTTCCTTTACCATGAAAAACAGTGACACAGCTGTCTCAGATATTGCTTCTGTGAACTTAGTTGTTTAAGGCAGGGGTCTTTAAACTGGGCCCTTTTATGACTTGAGGACTTCAACTCCCAGAATTCCTCAAGTCATAAAAGGGCCCAGTTTGAAGACCCCCTGGTTTAAGGCAATAGGTTTATGAAAACCTTCCAAGGATGCTTTACTAAGACAGAGATCCAATTAATCCTGTTACTGAAGTTGATTCATAAGGCATAGGCACACAAATGAGTAGAAATTATTGTGTTACTTTACCTACTTATGGATTATAGATCTATAAATGTCAGCTTTGTAGCACATTGAGGAACACTTTTTTCCTCAGCAAAAAAAGGGGGGATGAAGAAGGAAAAGAATTTGAACCCCATCCCCATGTAAATAGAAAAGGGATTACTAGAAGAGAGAACAGTCCAATGAACACACGAAGGAGCAGTTTTAAAGATTTGCTGCATTTAATTTTTTTTCCAGAAGAGAGTATATAGAAGAATAGTAATTGCTAGTACATTTTGGGTCATGTTGAAGAATTTGTCAAACTGTGGTTTCATTTATTGTGGTCTAATTTTCATATCCGCATACTTGTAAGAATAATAATACCCCTTCCCAGTATGCCAGTTGATGCCATCAGCAAAAGAGGTATGCTCCCCTTTGTGATACATGCCATTCAGGTTGGAAGAGTGGCATTTAGTGTACCACCAGGCTCCTTTGAAACTTACGGCACAATTTTCATCATAGATATCATTGTCTCTGTCTTTGGTAGAGAATGGATGGCCATTGTGCCCCGAGAAAGAATCACCTAAAAGGAGGAAATCACAGGGAAGCACTAAGTTCATCTCTTCCAGGAATACAAACCTGACAGGTATTTCACCAATGAAAAATGTTCCTACACCACTAAGAATTAGAAAGGGATTAAATATAAATGATAGAGCATCCGGTTTATTTGCACAATTTCCCAAATTTGAACTTTGGCATCACTAGCCAGCCCAGTCAAGATAATGCAATGTGTTTTTCAATGGCTTTACCTGTTTCCTGAAGCCATGGCTTGCTTGACTTGATTTGTTGAATACACCACCCTGAAGTCCATCTAATAGGCCACGTTGTAAATCATGACCCCCATTAACACATTAAGCCAAGGAATTGATAGGTTCCCTGAATCTGGGATTGCATTTTGCTCCTTGGACCAGTTGAAGGGCTGTTTCTTCATATTCACACTCCCATATTGTCCCTCTGATAAGCTAGAAAGGAATTAGGCAGCCCCCTGGCTTAAATTGTTTCTGCATTCTGCATCGGGTCATGTGATATTATTATGCAGTCAGATGTTTAGATTGGA